CCCTCTGACCACCACCAGTAGGCAACGGGTGAAGTGTCTTGCCTAAGGACACAACGACTGAGACTGTCCAAGCTGGGGCTCGAACCGGCAACCTTCCAATTACAAGGCGAACTCCCAACTCCCAACAGTAATAGGAAGTGGGGTACACTTCCTATTACTCTGCATGGACCCTGTTGCCACTCCCTGGGATGTGGGTACTTGTTGATTTGGGAAGTGTGGCTGGATGTTCTGGTGTGATCGTTGACCCCCTCTCTTAGGGGCCTCTTCTAAAATGTGTGCAGCTGTTATTGTTCTGAGAATTTATGGTAAATGTGATGTTATACACCCATGAAGAATGGATGGCATTGCAAAACTGAATTCCCTCTTTATTCTGGTACAAAGATAACAGCACACAATTGCCATCAACAGTGTGTCATGCAACTGCAACATTCAGGTCTGTTAACTAGGATTAGAACAGTTACAATCTAATGCAAAACATTAGAACTAGGGGCAAGCCAGAAAGCTAACCAAAAATGCTACTTGTGAGTGAAGTTACTGATCAACACATTCTCACTCCCAAAGTGTAATATTTTATGCTAGGTGACAAATCGCCAACATATTACGCTTCCAACACCCGGAATACCCGGAGAAATTAGGAAACATGAGAACCGTTTGGGATCCATCTTCACATGTTTGTTCATTTTTCTTAAATCGCTTTGAAAAACACTATTTAACGTCATCAAAGTGCTGGTTAAGGTTAAGGATAAGGTTATGGTCAGGGCTGGAATACATGCCTGGAACGTGCATTACCCCGGGACCGTAATTCCACTGGATTTCACCCATAACCCAGCGCGTAGCATAAGAACATGGAAGGTCACCTTTCACATTCCTCAGGAACACTGCGGGACGTGACAAATCGTCAGGATGGTATGCCTCGGGAGTGAGAACGGGCTGTACTGATGATGCACCAATATGCCTGTAACTTTCAGGGTACATGCCAGTACTGCTTGTAATAAAAAATACATATTAACAATTATGGCTCTCTTAAAATTTCACTGTTGGGTTTCTCCTAAATTTTTATCTTGTTCAAAGAGAAGAAATAAAACAAAGTTCTAAGCTAATCAACCTGTGTGTTCTCCTTTTTTAAAAACGAGAATTAATAGGAGAATCGATAAAGAATCGAATGGTTAAACAGAATCGAAAATGGAATCGGAATCGTGAAAATTTTATTAATTCCCATCCCTAGTCACGATGAGGCAGTTATTTTGGTGCTGGTTGAGAAATAAAAATGTGCAATGAATGTCTGGCTGACATATGTCAGTCAATTTTTTTCAATGTCATTTCCTTAGTTTGGAATTTCAAAAACAGTATATAATCACTGATCTTGGAGCTGTTCAGCACCTTCTCACTGGAAGGTTAAAGC